CGGATGAAAAGTAGTGTGCTTTGCTAATACATGCAAGTTGGATGGGAATTGGTGTGCTTTGCTATGAGAGTGAAAGCTGTTCAGAAAGGTCCTTGTTATATGACAAAAGAATCTTCGATAAGGAACCTCGCCAATTCCAAAGTAGCGAGACAAAATAACATCTTTTGTTACCATATCTTGAAATTCAAAACATTGAAATTGCTTGATGTTTCTTTATCTAGAATAGGAATATTTTAAAGTGGGATTGTCATTGGAGGAACTGTATTCAATGTACCATTTGTTGTTTGAATTGAAGTAGTCCCAATAGTATCAATTTCTATTATGACATAGAATTTCAATATAATTAATAGAAGAAAGAAACAGTAACATTTTACTTATTCCAATGGATAAATAGAATCAGATGTAACAAGCAAAATGACAAAAGAAATTCATCTCTTAAACTTGGTGTGTTGTGTATGCAATTTGCCAATTTAAATTGAAATTAAATTGAATGATGAATCAAAATAAATTTACTTGGAAGAAAACAAAAGCTGCAGAACTGAAGAATAAAAGATGAAGAATGTAAACCTTAGCAAGTGTTCAATACTTTGTCTTTAAGACGAATTTGCCCTATAACGGTGTTAACAAACTCTTGGTAATCGTTTCCTAAGATATAATGAATTCTTATTGCAGTAGAAGCACTTCAAACTCCAAGGAACGACGAACTCGAAAAAGGAATAAACTCTCTACTTGAAATGGATGTTTGATGCAAGAAAACCAATAATTTTGAAGTTTTTTGATGCAAAGTAACATGTGGAATGAATTCTGGCTTTCTAAGAGGTCCTATTTATAAAAGATAAGGAGTTGTGGTTCAAGATACACACCCCTAACTCAACATGTTTCATGAAGAGAAGCAACCCTTTAGATCGCTCGCTACCCCTGCATAGACGCCTCTTGAGTGCTCATAGCAGTGAGACCACCGCTCGCTTCGTTTTAGATTGTTGCTCTGAGCAGCGATTTTTTATATGCTGAATTTTCCTTTTTTCTCTAACTTTGGACCTCAATTTCTCATTCATTCGAAATTAATTTTATGTAACCAAATATCCTACGATAGTCTACTTGAAGAGTAGAATAAGTTGATTTATTCATTTGCATGATTTGACTATCGAAACTTATTCGAATAATTGCTCAAAGTTGATACACAATCAATGTAAATTCTAACACTTACTCGTGTCTAACCTCGAGACTGTGTTATAGACGTATAAAATTTTTAATATAAAATTAAAACAAATAATAATAGGTAAATGATATTATGGTGATCAAGGTTCACCCACCACATTTCCAAGGATTAAATTGGATGAATGGATCCAACTTGCCTACTCGGCTCTCACGCGCCGGACAGACCCATTCCCAAATCCAGTAGCAATGATCGCACCCGCCCATAAAATCACAGACTGACCCACCACTCAACCCGTTTAAGATATCGTCCCAACCCAAGGGTAATAAAGTCATTTCACGTTCCAATTATCGGCGATGCTCCAATTCGAATAACATTTCTATTTCGAAGCAAATCATCTCCCCTTCGCCTCCGATCTCTCAAACGTTTGCAATTTTTGTTATTTTCTCGCTCTGTATCTATCGATTCCATCTATAACTACAAAATTGTATACCTCTTTTTTTATATAGATGCAATTTTATGTAAACAGAGGGATGTGCTCATAAATAGATTCCCTTTTTGGGAACTTCTGTAGAGGAAAGTTCGAATTAGGGTTTCGAGTTTCTGAAAGGCTAGGGCTTTTTTGCGGCGTCTTGGGGGATTGAAGGGTATCAAATTTTGGATTCCAATTATTATTATTATTATTAATTTTTTTTGTTGGTGAAATAAAATATCGCTTCTTTTTAGTTTTCAAGGTTTGAACTTGGGTTGGAGTTTTCTGAAGCTTAGGGGTCTCTGGGATAGTGAAGTGAAATTAGTTATGACTCGAAGTTCGAGGCACAAATCCCATAAACAAAGCAAACACAGTTCGAAGGATTATTCGGATTCTGAAGAGGATGTAAAGTTGAAGGAGAAAAGTAGCAGAGATGAGAATCCTGCCAGGGATCATCGGGGTTCAACCTCTGGAGAGAAGCGAAAATTTTCATCTGTGTTGAGAGAAGGGAATGATTGCAAAGATCTGAGGAATGGTGAGGCATCAGAGGAGTATGTTTTGTCAAAACTACGGAAAGAGAAGGCCAACGTTGGCAAGGCGAGAGCTGATGTAAGTGTGGGTGTTGGCGATGATAGGTGGAGGGGTTATGGTGAGGATAAAGGAGATACTGATAGAAATGTTAAAAAGGAAATAAATAAAGGGGAAAGTTTGAAATTTGACTCGAAACTGAAGGAAAGTAACAGCAAAGGGGAAACTTTGAGAATTGAGTCAAAGATTAAAAGAAAAAGGTATGAGATTGGGAGTGGTGGTGAGATTAAGGAGGATAATATAGCATCACTGGTGGTGGAGAAAGAGGAGAGTGAACGGAAAGGAGAGTCAAAAGGGAAGTCTGAGAGGGATTCCTCAGGGCGGAAGGAAGTGAAGGAATCCAAGGGGCGTGGGTCAGAGAAGGAGAAGAGGGTTGGTGAGGAGAGTATGCGTGGGGATGCTGAGGTTAAATCCATGGAGGTGTTTGGGCATAAGCAAGGGTCACAGTTAGAAGATTTTAGTGAGGAGACAAAGGCTAAACGAGGTCTAGAAAATACTGGTAAGGTAACTTATTGTCGTGGCGTGCATGCAAGTGACTTATAATTGCTGTTTGTGTGTTTGCCAACACAACTTTCATTGACTTTTGGTCCTTGATTCTATTTGTAGAAGTAACATATTTCAAGATTTTGTTTTCGATTAGATGGTTATTTTTTGCATCAACTCCTAACATCTTACTTACTTTTAGAAATAGAAATTATTCAAAAATAACTTTGTATGGATAGTTTATGTATGCAAACTTTAGTTTCTATCTGAGAACTTGGAATATGTTTAGAAGACATTGGTGGAGGAAATATTGATGGTACTTTTGTATAGTGAGTGATGGCATTGGTGCTAGTGCATGTTACTCTTTATCTGAACTTGAGGGTGCACCATCCTAAAGGCTTCTAACTTCGATTTAAGTTTGTAAACATTATTTTTCTCAAATGAAATAATAGCAAAAATTTAGGGGGTTGATGATCATATGAAGAAAAAGAAGTTCATCATTAGAAACATTTTTCAACCCCCTGATTTTCTGTCGAAAATGTTTAACTGGTTAATTGGTGTTTGGGCATGTAGCTGTTTGGTTGGAAGGTCCGTGGTTGAATTTCTTTTGGCTGCTTGGTTTTTTACTATGTATGTGGCACTTTGTGATCTTAGGTTCACTAGTACTGCAATTCAAAGTATGGTGTTATCTTTTTCCCTTAAGTAATTTGAGCTAATGCTATGGAAGTGTCAAATATCCAATTGATCTCGGTTGCATTAAGTGGAAGGGAGAAGAACTTATATATATATTGGGCTATGATGGAAAGTTGATTCCTATGTCTTTGAATTTATCTCATTGTTGTGTTTTTGCTGTGTCATTTTTCTGCTTTGAGAAGCAATCAAATCTCTCAAAGGGAAGGTGATCCTCAGGCTTGATACTCGAACTGATTCCCTTTGCATAGTTTTATATAAAACAGAAAAACAAAAATCGGTAAATTGAACGTCTTTTTTTTTTTTTTCCGAAAAGTTCAATTCGGGCATATGGAAAAATCTCTGGTGCTGTCTTAGATTACTGGATTCTAATTGCACAATTAGTCAACATTTTTAATTTGTTGATTTTTATTTAGTGTATATTTATAATCTTTTATGCAGAGTGTCCTTTACAAGATGAGTTGAAGAATCCCAGGTTCGAGAAGGAACTCGAGAAAAGGATACGAAGGAGAAAAGAAGGTTCTGATGTCAGAGAGGCACATTACAATGATTTTAAAGAAATTGATGAGAGGCTCTTGCTATCAAGAGGTGATCCTGCCAAAGATGTAAAATACAGAGAAGATAGGCACAGGGATGGAGGTAACAAGGACAAGTATCAGAAAGATGGCCAAAAAGATGGTAGGCACCGGGACGACAAGTACCTGGATGATGCCGACAAGTACGGCAAATTTCGGGATGGTAAGTATCGGGAAGATGGTGGCAGAGATGCCAGACATAGAGATGAGAGACGTCGAGAGGATGGCAGTAGAGACTGCAGACACGGGGATGAAAATTTTCGGGACGATGGGGGGAAAGATAACAAGCAGAAAGATGACGAGTATTGGGAAGGCAGTGCAAGAGACATTCAGAACAAGGATGATAAGTATGCCAAAGATGGCGAGAGGGGTAATAGACGTAGAGATGATCGATACCATGGAGATATTGACAAATATGGTCGGCACAATGATGAAAGGTTTCATGAAGATGGTGACAAAGATGACAGACAAAGGGGTGATTATAGAGAAGATGGTGATAGAGATGGTAGATACAAGGAAGATAAGCATCGGGAACATATTGAAAGAGACAGTCGGCATAAGGATAGTAGGCGAGGAGATGATTTTGGTAGAGAGGATAGACTGAAAGAGGTTAAGCATAGGGATGAACGTGCCTCAAGAGACTTCTCTGCTGACAAGTCTGACCCCAAACACTCTAGGGATGATGGTTATGGTGAGGATCGTCGCTCCAGGAAATTAAAAGCATATGATTATAGTCCAAAACTGGGTGGTCAAAATGCCAGGTATAAAGATGACCAGGGTAGGAGAAAAACTAAGGAAAAAAGGGATTATGATGACAATAGATCTCAAAGTACCAAGGTTAAAGAGTTCGAATCAGAGAAGAATTCTGCCAGCAGTGTGAGAATGGGCATAGTTACTGAGATGGAAAGGTCTATATCTAAGAATGCTGATGTAGAACTTACATCTAATCATATCAGACGTCACAGTTCTCCTAGCTCAAGTTCTCATGGTACAAGGGATCCCTACAGGTACTTGATTATGTGCAATTATTTATTGACTGAAAGGTTCAAGTTAATTTGACAAATAGAGACTTTGTAGGAATGGTTAGTATCCTGAATGCTGCAAGACGTTTGATGATATATTGTCACTGCAATCTGTTTACTTTCTTGTTGTCATTGGATAATGAAGTTTGTCATCTGAAAGTTCTAGCTGTTTGAATGAGCTTGGAGAAAATGCTGGGAAACAGTGAAATTCTCCTTGGAAATGTTGTGCTATTATACACGTGAATGGAAAACATTGTGAGGAAATAGTTAGCCTTTCCCTTGATAATCTTCCCTGTTCCTTAATGGTTGGGCCCTTTCTACATTTTATATTGCTGCCTCCTTTCTCATTTTGGTGGAATACATACTAAATTTGGACTTAATAAGTGGAATGAATTTCTTATGTCACTTTTTTTTTTTCTCTTCTTTTCCATTATTCTCTTTCTTTTCTTTTTGGCTTTTTTGGGTGGGAGTGGTTTCTGTCAGTTGTAGTAGAATGGTTGACTTATTAGCCGTTTGTTGGTTAAGAAGTTAAGTATTTAAGAGCATTGTACAAGGTGTGCTCTTTTTATGTGGATCATGTACATTAAAGCTACTATGCCCATTCTAGGTCTGCCAAGTTCACATTGAACTTGAAATTGACCTGTTTTGTTGTTCTTTGTTCCTGCCATAGTATGCTCCTTCAAATTTATGCACTTCGTTCCTCAGCTACAGGATTGACCAACATGAATCTTTGTCCATTTGCTGTTTGTCAGGCTCCCAAAACAAGAAGACTCCAAGTATCATGCTTATGACGAGAGAGTTCAGTACAGCAGAGATTATTCTAGTGCTGCAGGAGGAGCTTCTAAGGCAACCCCATCTAGATCGATGGAGAAACTTGATATTAAAGAAGACAGCCAGTTCGGAGAATTGTCAGCCAAAAGGCGTCTGAAATCGGACATTCGCTCATCTCCCTCACAGCTAGTGGATAAATCCCCAGCATCGAGCACTGATTGGAAATACTTTGCTAGATCTGATGTAAGGCAGAGTCTTGATGTTGAAGAATCAGCACAGCGGAGTGGTGCTCTGCTAGATGCAAAGGGGTACTCTGGTAAGGAAGGCAGGGGAAGACGTGAGTTAGTCATGGACATAGTTCCTGGAGATGAACTTTCACAGGCTGATGCAGATAATCTATCTGTTTCTTCACCTTTTACGAGAAATACACATTTATCTAACAGTTTTAAGTCAATGCAACCACCTCCTCTCTTCAGGACAGGGTTGGAGAGCCCTTTATTGTTAGGATCTGCTGAAGACAACAGCAGAAGTATGTCAAATAGCCATAATAGGAGAATTGGCAATCCCAACATGGGAAGAGTTCAAGGAAATGATTTGCGAGGTGTACCAAATTGGCCTTCCCCTTTGGTAAATGGTTTCATGCCTTTTCCTCACGGTCCACCTTTTCATTCAGTGATGCAGCAGTTTCATGGTCCACCAATCTTTGGTATTAGATCATCTATGGAGTTAAACCATCCCTCTCCTTACCATATGCCTGATGCTGACAGGTTTACTGGCCCTGGGCGTCCTATGGGATGGCGCAATCCTGTGGATGATTCGTGCCCACCTCCACTGTATGGTTGGGATTCAAGCAGTGCTGTCTATGGTGAGGATTCTCAAATTTATGGAAGGCCAGATTGGGACCATTCTAGGAGCCTGCCCGGTAGTAGAGGCTGGGAGACCAGGGGAGATTTGTGGAAGGGACCATATAAAACTGCAAGCATTGATATGGCGTCTTCTGATAAAGAGAATGGCTTCTCTCAAATTGCAGATGAACCTTTGGTTGATCAGTCAATTCAACAGGCTAAAAGCGAG